TCCTGGTGGAAGCGCCCTGCCCTCATTGCACCTTCTCAGCATCCTTCCCCGAGGAGGGGGAGAAGCACGTTGAAGTCAATGCCAACTTTGGGAGCTGGGGGGATGCAGGAGGAGGAAGAGGAGGGAGGCAGAGGAAGGAGCCCAGAGCCTGTGGGAAGCCTTTCATGGGGACTGGCCCTGAGCAGGGGCCCGGTGCTGCCTGGGTCCCCCGGGGGAGTGAGGTGACACGGCAGTGACATCCGAGGTACCGGCACTCAGCAAAACTCAGCGGGTATCGGTGCCCGGCACGGGGCCGTGGCAGGGACCAGGCGGGGGGGGGGTGCTGCTGGTGGGACCTCAGGGACACTGTGGGCTTCAAGGGCATCAGGCAGGATCCAGGCAGCTGCCAGGCCCCCGTCCTTCACCCCAGCGACCTCCCACTGCCAAACAGCCCCGTCATGTCATTTCTGGAGGGACCAGGGTATTTTTTTCCCCCCTGTCTTCCATCGTTACGGTTTGTTTTTCCCAGGCTCTCGCGCTCGCTCAGCCCATTTGTTGGGATTCCCCCTTTTTTTGGCGCGCTTGCCTTCATCACTGCAGGTTGGCTGGTTCCTGCCTGTGCCTTCGGGTCAGTGTCGCTGCTAGAAAGCCAGCATTTAGAGAGATTTCCATAGAATTGCTTCTTTTTTTCTTCCTAAGCGCAACAGAACCGGTCTGGTCGGGCTTTGGGTTATGCGTATTGCACTTTGCTCAGGTGCTGGGGTAGGTGATGTCCAGGAGAGGAGGTGAGTCAGCTCTGAGGAAGTTCTCTGCCCTTGATTTGCAAAGCTGTGTCGGGTTTGCATAGCAAGGGTTTGGTAGGGGGGGAGTCTACTGCGAGAAGCTGCTAGAAGCTTCTCCCATGTGCGACAGAGCGCCCGCGTCCCCCGAGCCGCCCCTGCCGCTGGCCAAGGCCGAGCCCATCAGCAGTGGTGGCAGTGCCTCTGGGATAACAGAGTTAAGAAGGGAAAAAAAACCCCAACCCACCAGAACCAATTGCAGCCGGGGAGAGAAGATGTGAGAGAACAACTCTGCAGACACCAAGGGCAGTGCAGGAGGAAGGGCAGGAGGTGCTGGAGCAGAGAGTCATGGATGCAGTCCATGGAGAAGACCATGGTGAAGCAGGCTGTCCCCCTGCAGCCCACAGAGGATGATGAGGAGCAGAGATTCCCCTGCAGCCCGTGGAAGACCCCACGCCAGAGCAGGTAGATGGGCCTGATGAAGGCTGTGACCCTGTGGGAAGCCCGGGGCCTGTGGGGAGAGGCGCCCGCCCTGGAGCAGGGGCAGAGTGTGAGGAGTCCTCCCCTGAGGAGGAAGGAGCAGCAGAGACACTGTGGGAGGAACTGACCACAGCCCCCATTCCCCACAGGGAGGAGGGAGAGAAAACAGGGAGTAAAGTTGAGCCTGGGAAGAAGGGAGAGGTGGGGGGAAGGTGGGTTTAAGATTTGGTTTTATTTCTTCTTACTCTGGTTTGATTGGCAATAAATTAAATTCATTTTCCCCAAGTTGAGTCTGTTTTGCCTGCCACAGTAACTGGCTGAGTGCTCTTTTCCTGTCCTTTTTTTTTATCTCACCCCACCAACCTTTCATTATATTTTCTCTCTGCAGCCCAGCTGCTGTCCAGCCAGAGTCAACCCACCCCAGGTTTCACTTTTGATTATCGATTTTAAAAAAAGGAACTGAAGCCTCTTTTTTGGAACAAGTATCTTTATGCAAAGCTCAGTCCCATGCACTGGGGGAAACACATGCAATGAGAAGGGGAAAAAACCCCAAGCTTTTGGGTGAGAAAGTTTTGCCTTGTAGTTGCACCCCATCCTAGGGTGCTGGGCCAGTCATTCCAGGGAGCACCCCAAGATTCTATTCCCCCACTCAGCCCCCCAAAAAGATGCATTTCCTTGGCAGGAGAGCTCACCCACCTCCACCCCACACCCCCCAGCAGAAGCAGAGACCACTCAGAGCTGGGTTTAACATTTTATAAACAGTTTATTAAAGATCAACAAACAAAGTCAGTCCTTCATAGGCCTGAGCCCCCATCCTTCTCAAGAAGGATTTGGCCCCTGCAGCCCCCCGGGCAGGGACAGCTTCCCAGCATCTCTCCCCCCATAACCCCCCTTTGGGGTCCCCCTCTCCATCAGCTGCACCTCCTCTCCTCAGGCAGAGTCATTTTGCCAACTTGCATGAGCATCTTCGGGGTCCTGGAGGTGAGAGGGGGAGAAGTCACTGTGCCCACCTCCAGCAAGGGCAGGGGGTGAGGTCTCATGTCCCCCCAACTCCTGGCATTGCCCAGGACCATCACCAGGTACAACAGGGACCTGCAGACACAGCAGCTGTGCTCCAAGGCTCCAGCTCCCAGGCACAGAACCCAATTTCAGGGACTGTAAAGGCCACTGACCTGTTCAGAGGACGCCCAGAACCCTTGGTTATCCATTTCCAGGGTCTGGGTCCCTGCTTCAGGGTCTCTTCTGTCCCAGAGGACCACCATGTCCCGCCAGCCGAGCCTCTTGGTCCTCAGACACTAGGGAGGAGAGCAGGGAGGCTGCTCTCTGCTCCCCTCGCACAGGGGCTGCTTTGCCCCAGCTTGTTTCTGTCCTCCCCAGAGACAGATGGACATCACCCTTACCACCAGCAAGACGATGGGAGCAGTGATGATGCAGAGGCCACAGATGACCATGATGGCCACGCCATACTCGGGAAAGCCTGGTTCGGGCGGTGGGGGCTCCAGGGTGTCCTCTGGAGAGGAGCACAGCAGTTAGCTCTGTCCCAGGAGGTGGCAGCCACTCACTCTCCTTTGGGAGACCAGAGGCAATATATAGGATGCCACTAACATCGGTTTGGCACCCTGCATGCCCTTTCCATATAACACTTCCCTCCTGTCCTGTGCCAGCCTGCAGCAGATGGGTCTCCATCTCCAATCCCCCCAGGCTGTGCAGAGCAATAGGGCATGGCTGTTATTAGAATTGTACCTCTCAGACCAACCATTGCAAGCTGGTCACCTCACCAGCCAAGATACCTCACCCTCCCTTTGCATAAGGGATCCGATCTGGGTGGTTGTGGATCTGTTCTGCTCACACTGCAGGCATGGAGCCACAAGCTGGTGAAGCTTTAGACCCCACACCCCAAAGGGAAGCTTACCTCCTACCGCAAGAGAGTATGGGTCCACCTGAAAGTCTGAACCAGCCAGAGCCTTGTTTGGCCCAACTGAGAGCACAAGGGCCTCCAAAACTTCCAAGCTGGTTGGAGCAGGGTGCTGGAAGACCACATCCCCATGGCAGATCAAGGAGCCAGGCCTGCGGACAGGGTTTGGGAAGAGCTCCAGAACTGCCAGTCCCACCATAACCCCACAGCCACACACTGGGCTGTGGCCACAGGCACAGCCAGACTCCTGGCTGGTTTTGCTCAGACAGATCCTAGGAGGGCACATCTGCACCCAGGGAGGCATTGGGTTTGCATCTGCTCTTTGGGGTGGAAGGGACATCCCAGGGGGTCCAGCAAATCATTCCTGAGACAGTGGGTAAATGCTTCACCTCAGCTGCCTGCTGCAAACCCTTTTGTGGCTGAGACTAGACAGCTGACAGCCATGACCTGTCAGTTGATGTTTGTGGGGAGACCTCCCTGGATCTGTACACCCCTGCCCAGACAGCCCCTCTGCTCCCACTCACAGGAATCCTCTTATCATCACTTGCAGGAAGCTGCTGTGGTCCCTCAGGGCTCTCGCCACCTGAAAGAAAGGTTTTGCTCAGCTCCACACCAGCCTTTAGGGTGTGTCACCCACTAGACCACCGCTTCACAGCCACGATGGAGCTGGGAGAGCCACTACAGCAGGGGCACAGGGCAGCCGCGGTCCTGTGGCACCTCCAGGTCCCTGGCTGCATTTTGGTGACCTGAAGCACCATCAGCAGACAGAAAACATTCTGCCACTAAAACAGCACTGGAGTTGGGGATCTGGTTTGAACAACCCCAAAGCAGTCCCTCATCCTCCAGTGGTCCTCAGCACCCCGGGAGGACCCCAGCCCCCTTCCACCAGCCATGCCTACCGCATCACCAAGGTCTCTGCTGAGCTCCTGGTTCTCCGCAGCAAGCGGATCCAGAAGGTCCTCACTGAAGCGTCTGTTGGTGATGAGGAAGGAGAGCGGGTAAACCTGCAGGTGAAGCTTGGCTCCTGAAGAGGCAAAACATGAGTTAGAGGTGAGCAGAGCTGGCAGCAAGCCCTACCACACACAGGCACTTGTCCTTACCCTCCACCAAGAGGGAGGTCAGGTCCACGGAGCAGGTTGCGAGAGCTGTCAAGGCTTGTAGAACCTCTGCAACGTCAGCATGGATGATTGTGTCGAGGTAGATGTCTCCAGCGATCTCCAGATTCCCAGTGAGGTTTCTAAGAGGAGAAAAGCGCTCTAAGCAAGGCAGGAGAGCTGGGACCAGGCTCACCAAGATCACCCTTGCTGGTCTTTCTCCAGCTCACCCGCAGTGCGGCAACTCACAACTGCTCAGCCTGGGGGAGGTGCTCAGTTATGGTACGTGCCATCAGCTGCACATCACCCTCCCGGGTTTCCTTGTGCTGCACAACTCGCCTTCCCCCATCTTTGCAGCATTTGCTAATTAGTTGCAAAGTGCACAAGAGGTAGCGAAGGTAATTTAATGAAGAGCTTTGCAAAGGGGTAGTTGTTGTCCCATACCTGAGCTGGGTGATAGTGAAGTTCCTCACATGGTAGATGGCACTGAGAGACCAAGTCACCTAGAAGAGGAGACAACAGCTCACACCCTGCCCCTGCTTCAGCACGTTATCCCACCATGCAGAGCCAGCCTGGGCCCATTTTCCTGATGGGCCAAGTTCCCAGCATGGTCCTTTGGAAGAGCCACCAAGGCTTGCTGTACCTTGCTGATCAGCCTCTGCAGCAGGTCTGTCCTGTCCCTCCCCAACTGGAGGACAGCAAGAGAGATGGACAGCTTCTCTGGGTCCAGGTTCTCCAGGCTGAAGCCTAAAAGAGTTCAGAAGGCAGTTATACCCATATTTGCTCTTCCACCCTTTTTGGGAGATATCTATCACCCTCAAGTTCATCCTCTGCCACACTCCAAAACACAGAAGCCAGCAGGGCAGCTAAGCCGAGATGAAGACCTGTCCCTTTTGTGGTGGGAAGGGCTTGGGATCTACCACCTCCCAGGACTGGAAAAGCCGGTCAAGGAGGGGAAGCCAGAGAGTTTAGCAGAAGCACTGGATCACACAGGGCCAACTGCTGCAGATGTGGTCTCCAGCACTAGAGTATCCTTGCATGGGTCAGGAGAGGGGAGGTTAAGAGAAAATGAAGCCCAAAATCCAAACTGGGCAGGTTTCGGCTTTGATAAAGGTATGGGGAGGACACTTGCCAGCAGCAGCTCTGCTGTGGGAAGATCTCTGCAGCTTACCACCAGACTGGACAGATTGTGGCTCCAGTTGCCAACTGAAGATGCTCCTTCCCCTTCTCGCCTCCATGACAACCGTCCGGATGAGGTGGGAGTGGGTGGGAGCAGGAGCATCCCCCCGGAACAGAACCTCCCCTTGCACAACCACCGAGCCGTTCCTGGGAGGGAGAGGAGATGATGGGCAGCCCCCCTCCCCCTTGGGAGCAGCCCCAGAGCCCCATCATCCCCACATTAACACCCCACCCAGAGAGAGGTCCCAGGTGACCCCATCTGGAGCCTCAGACACTTTCAAGCAGGGATCCCTTGGGGCAGTGACACTGGGGAGGGAGCATAGCTCCTCACAAGACCCATCCGGAGCACTTTGCTGGGCAACTCCTTCCCTCCAAGCCAAAGCCACCATCTCCATCTGTTCCCCCAGGGCAGAGCTGCGTACTCACATGAACTCGAGGACATTTGCCCGCAGGAAGGTCTCATAGGTAGACAGCATTTGGTTTAGCTGGAAGCAAGCAGCATCTGTTAACTGATGAACTTTCACAAATTCCCCCATGCAAAGGAGGCACAATAAATACAGAGGCAGGTGGGCTCGGTTTGCCCAGGGGTAGGGCATGTCCAACCTCTGGGGATGGTCACGGCTGAAGCTCCCATCAGCCTAGAAACAGCACCCAGGAGGGAATCCCCCAGCACCAACACAGCATGCGATGGCTGCCAGAGGTGAGGGGAGTCCAGCCCCACCTCAAACCAAGCATCCCAGCCCAGCTCTGGTGGAGCAGCACCAGGGATTTACTTGTCCCCACCGTGCCCAGGTAGCTGATAGACCCACCCAGGGCTGATGCAGCCTGCAGGCTCCTCACCCCAGCAGGGCTTCCCTGCTGTAGCTTCTCACCCAGGAGCACCAATATCTCCACCGACCAGCTCCTGCACTCACCATCAGCATCACTTCTTCCTCCAGCTCCCTGTAGCTCCCCGAAGACTTGTTGCTCAGAGCCTCGGTGTAAGCGATGCCCAACAGCCGGAACCGCAAGGGCAGCACGTGTACAGGCTGTGCAGGAGTGGGGAGCCCAGAGGGCTTCACCCCTGGGGAGCCAGGTTTGCCCATTGTCATCAGCTCAGCTGGAGTGAAGGCTTCTCCTCCAGCTGCAGGGAGATGTTCTCTGGCTGTGGAAGGGTGTTGGGAGGTGACAGAGTAACTGGACATGGACTGAGCATCAGGCATCACTCCTGCTGGTACAACCAGGGTCTGAGAGCCGAGCAGGGAGCTGGCTGCATGCGCAGCTCCAGGGGAAGTCAGCACGTAGGATGGAGATGGCAAGCTTGTGGCGCTGGTGTGGTGCACAGCCTCAGAGCAATGCTCCGGAGCAGAGTTCCTGGGGGTGGGAGGAGATGCAGAGCCTGGGCTGGCATGGGTGGGCCCTGGAGGTCCTGCTGGAGCAGCAGTGGGTCCTGCTGATGCTGTCCTGGGCTCGCTGTGACCATCATCTTCTGCCACAGCCACCTGTCCAGGCAGCACGCTCATCTCTACCACCTTCATGGCCTGATGTTGCCCTGCAGTAGGTGCATCCTCAGATGCTGTTGTGAGGAAGGGATCTGGATGCAGAGATGGCCTCTGGGTAGGTGACCCCAGGAGAGAAGCATGTGTCACACCTGCAGCTCTTGGAGAGGGAGAAGCCACCACAGCAGCTCCATCCTTGCAGGGGGCTTTGGTTGCTCCGAGCTCTGGGATGGCGTCAGGGGCTGCCGAGCTCACCCCAGTGACAGCAGGGCCTGCAGCGCTGGTCAGAGCAGGAGAAGGGTGAGCTTTGGTGGATGTCAGCAGAGCCTGCTGTGCAGGGGGGGAAGACAGGTCACTTAGCTTCTCCAAGGTGACAGCAGGTCCCTCGGATTCTGCTGTAGGAAGGAATGGAGCCAGCACTTGTGGGTGGTTGACACCATGGGTCGCTGCAGCACTGGGAGAGGATGCCAAGGCAGTGGCCAGAAGTCCAGACCCATTTCCCGGGACCTCAACCAAGACCGTGCCCACCAGCAGAGCAGCTTCACCATGCAGGAAGATACCAGCGGGCCGTGTCTCCCAGAGCATCTCCGGTGTCACGGCAGAGGGTGCCCACACAGTGCTGGGATGTGTTTCGGTCAAGCTGGAAGTCCTCTCTGATGGCAGAGCTGAGGTGTCCTCAGCTGGAAGGGGCACCGGCTGAGGAGCAGTAGTGTGGTCCTTACCCCCAAGCAGGCCAGGGCTTGGTCTCACCTCTTCCTTCTGCCCATTGCAGCTCCTCGTTGTGACTCCAGCACTTGAAGCTCCATCCTGGACACCAGAGAAGCCACTGGCTGTAGATGGATCAGACGCAGGCGCGCTGAGAGAGGACAAGTCGCTGGCTGTGACCACAGCAGGAGGATTAGAGCTTGCAGCCAGGCTAAGATCCGCTCTGCAGAGTGTGGTCCGGTGGTCAGGGGATGCCCCGAGGGTCTGGTCACCCATGGTCTGGAGGAGCTGAGCAGAGGTGGCAGGCACTCCGGTGCCAAGCCGCTGTGCCGGGGAGATCGTCACAGCTGTGCCCAGCCTGAGTTTTTCCCTGTGCCGCCACAGTGGTGAGCTCTGAGCTGCCAAGGGAGAGGCAGCGGCCGCAGTCGGTGTCCCCAAGCTCTGTCCCATCACCTCTGTTCCATAGGACACATCTCCAGCCCCCAGGGTGCTCGCAGAGCCCATCAGCATCCTCCCACGCTGCTGCATCGCCAGCTCGTCATCCCCACGTGTTGCCACCAGATTGTCACCTGTCCCTCTCTGGGAGATGGGCAAACCTGGGCCAGCGCGGGAGGGAGGTGGGGAGCCTGGGGGGGCCCCGGGCAGAGCACCCAGAGAGCCCAGGCCATACAGGAGAGCCGTAGCAGACAGGCAGATGGCCAGCACCAGGATGGCTTTGCACCGTAGCCCACCAGCGGCCACACAGGCAGCAGGACCTGTGGCCACAGCCTCTTCCCTCTCACCGTGGAAGGTCATTGTCAGCTGTAGGGCAGCAGTGTCCATGGGGTCCGGTGGTCCTACCCCTCGGCTCTGCTTGGGAGAGGCCATGGGGAGAGCCCAGCTGTGGGGACATACAGCAGGAGCTTTAGGCTGGGCCCTTCCAAGCTCCATAGCCCACCCCAGAGCATCCCACACACCAGGCCAGGACATCTCCAGCAGCACAGAGCAGCTCCTCCAGCTCAGGAAAGCCCACGCCAAGCCTCAGCATCTCCTGGGAGGAGGCAGGGCTGTAACCAGCCTCAGGCTGCAGACGTTACCCCATTCCCTGCCCAAAACAGCCACCTTGTCCCAGACAAGCCCACCAAGGACAGCAAACCTTCCCAACCCACCAGCACCCCTTACCAGGCAGCACCCCAAGGAGAAGAGAGCACCAAGCCCCCACCCCAGCGCTGCCCTTTTATCTCATTTCCCAGGGAGGGGGCGGCTCCGTTCCTGCTGCTCCCAATTAACGCACAAACTCATTTGCACTCCCCCAGGTGAAGCTTCTTCCCCTCCCCAGCCGGAGGGATCCCCGGCTTCCCTCTGCTCCTCATCAAGCCTTGTTGTGTCGTCCCCCCCCTCAAAACACCACGGATGCTCCTCAAAACACCAAATTTTTTGATGGTGGGATGGAGGGGCTGGGAACGTCGGCG